GTGGTGATGAGAAATGCCAGCAGAAGCAGATGGAGAGCTATGCCGAGCCTTAAGGGAGAAGGAAAGAAGCTTGAACTTCCTTGCATTCCGCACAACCCATAATTATTATTGATGATAACATCACACTACGCTAGGCATGTCCCACAAACATGAAAGATGCAGTTCTTGCCTTGGAGAGCTGCCTGTAGTCAGAAGACAAGAATGCTAGGCGACGCAAGCAGGAGGGAGAGCAATGTATCAAAGCCTTGAGCTGTTGTACCTATCTGAGCATTTTCCTCTAGATTGGGCTCTTCTGGTGACAGTTCTCTCCTACTTTGTGTGTTACTAATTAGATGTCTGGTGTTAAATAAAGGATATTTGTTTCATTCTTTTGTTTCAGGAAGGAGACACTGAGCACAGTTGCTCTCAGTGTAAAGGATCAGGTTCGGCCCCCTGCTCTTTGTGTCATGGAAGCAAGTTTTCAATGTTGGCTAACAGATTTAAAGAGTCCTACAGGGCACTCCGATGTCCTGCTTGCAATGAAAATGGCCTACAACCTTGCCAGATGTGTGCCCGATAATCATATCTATCATCCCTCTGCTTCCTATGTGTACCCAGATCAATGTTTCAATGAAATTTTAGTATGTTATCTAGTCTTCACATAGGAAAGCAATCAGTGTACAATAGTAGATTATTAAAAAGTGGCAAGAGTGCATTGTGCACACCCATAAATCTATATGTAAACATCCTCTGTTGATCCACCCCCCATCGTTTGTTTATGCATGTCCCTGTTGCGTCTTCTCATTAAATTAGGTTTCAATCCTGCAAACATACATTGTACTTAACTTGGTACATGAGTAATCCACTGAAGTAAAAAAGACTACGCCTATTTATAAATTAAGCACATGCTTAACTATATAGGACGGGGATTTCATGTTTACTTATTGCATGGTATTGTGGGGCTGCAATGTTTTTCTGGACCCGATAAGTCAGAGGTGGACAACCTACAACTCAAGGGCCACATACCGCCCATCAGGGTTCTCTCTGTGGCTCATGGGACGTATTGTTTACTATTGCCCATGAGCAGGATTGCCAGATTCTGCTGGTTTCTGTCTGCAGATTTTTTTCCTAATGGTATTATTAAAGCGACATGCACGTAAAGTGAGGACATGTGAAGTCTGGTGCATGCTCTTTGCACACAACGTTGACTGTAAGAGCCATGTGTTCCCTCTGCATCCAATCAAAATGCTGCTACCGTTTAATCATCTCACCCTGAAAACGCTAGTTACACAAGCACAGTTAGCACAACTACCCTATCTTGGGAGACCGTCTTGGTTAGGACAGTTAGGACAGTCTTGCAGCCCACTGAGCTGAATAAGGGCCACTCATGTGGCCCATTCACTAGCCTAGGTTGCTTATAGCTGCTCTAGGTGCTCCTGTAACAAAACAATAATACTAATAAATGGCAGAAGTAGCGCTGCTTTAAGCATGTTAGTAACTTGTCAACTTAAAAATGTATAAAAACAATACTGCATGTTGGCAAAGCTTCCTTTTAGATTTAACTTGGTGGATATTTTGAAATGATACTTTATGGTGCAATTCACTCTACCCTGCAGTGGATTTCCTGCAGATTTCAAATATAGTGTTATGATACACAGCAGTTCTTCCATTGCATGATTTAAATAGCAGACTAGAGCCTTTCTGCAGGTCTGAAACCTGATTGAGAAATTACCACAGGGAAATTAAAAATAGAAAAACTGGGGAGTTTTATAGTCTGATCCTGAGAAGTGCTGACCCACAGCTCCCATTGATGTTAATGGGAATTGCCAGTGTTCAGCATTACTCCAGATCAGGCTATTGGTGAACGGGGCTCCTGTTGCTTGGTATTAATCCCATGTTGTAATCTGCAAAATATAAACTCTAATTAGTTTAGTTGAAGCAGTGATGTTAAATAGTTAGCAGGCTACCAATGGCAGCACAGGACACAAGAGCTTCATAAAAAGTGGAGGCAAACAGGGGGAAAGTTTTTTGTTTTCTAAAAGCTTATTACACTTGATATTCTTGAGTAATGTTAATGAAGGTTTAACTTGCATATTACCTCTGAGACTTTGAATTAAGAGGCTTCTTATATCCTCAACATGCTGAGGTTGTAAGCCTAGACAGAGTAATTTATGGTTGAGTTTCTACGCTGGCATGTGTATATTATAAGGTTTCTCTGAGACAGTAGGATTATTAGAAATAATGCTATCCTAGTCCTCAGATCTTCTGATGCTTGTAACTGATATCAAAACCATGCTTTTCAAAAAGTGCATAGTAATATCTCAGATCATTTAGTTTCCTTAACTTGTATTTGAAAGGATGGGGTCCTGATTTGTGCATGAACTACAGAATATATTCCAACATCTGTAATTCTCATTGAGCAGACTTCTGGCCTCAAATTTTGTTGGGTTTTCATTTCAAAATGCCTTTCTTGAATTTTGTTGGTTTTATTCACAGTTTCACTAGTGTAAACTAAATAAAATGTGAATTATTTTGCCTTGTAATTGAATACTTATAAAATTAGCTGAAAATGTAAATTTATAAAGTAAATATTTATTATTCTTTCTCATTGGCCAGATTCCTTCTCCAACACTATTATCTATGCTCCGTGCCAGCTTCTCTTTGTCTCTGCCTCTCTTTGTCAGCTGTCTCCATTTACTGGCATCTTATTTTAACATTTCCATTGTTTGAAACACTGGACCTAATGCTGAGATCTATTCTTTCCTAGTTACTTCAATAAGAACATTGCCTAAATAAAAAGTATGGACTTCAGGATCTATGTCTGTGTGCATTTGTGAGCCAGGTATATGAATGACACATAATATTAAGTACTCTGTTGTACAATTATTTGGGGCTATATAATTTTTTTACCTTTCACATTGATTCAGCTGTTTTGGTTATATATTGCCATGGGTGTCTGAATACATGCGCTCTTAATTTACTGAGTAAACACTGGATAATGGTCATCTGACGAAGTGGGTTTTACGCACGAAAGCTCATGATTCCATATATTTTTGTTAGTTTCTAAGGGCATGTCTACACAGTAGGGCAAAAGTCGAATTAGGCTAAGCAACTTTAGCTATATCAAATGCGTAGCTGAAGTTGTAATAGTTTAATTTGAATTTTGGTGCTGTCTACACAGCAGGAAGTTGAAGGAAGAACACTCTTCATTTGACTTCCCTTACTCCTTGTGAATTGCAGGTTACAGGAGTCAGCGTAAGAAGTCCTCCAGCTCCCCATTATTTTGAAATAATGGCTTGCTGTGTAGACGCACTTTGTTATTCCGAAATAACGCTGATGTTATTTCAAAATAATGCTGCTGTGTAGACATACCTTAAGATGGACTACTCACTGAATAATGTGCTTGCTTTTTCTTAGAATGCCACATTTATTAGACATGGTGGGATTATTTAGGTATTTATATTTCCATTGGGTATGGAAGTCCCGTTAGGATACTTGTCCCATTGTATTAGGAACCATATGCAGCACCTGTCCTGTCTGGACTGGCTGTTTGGAGATATGGATTCAGATCTTAAATTTCACTGTGATTGTAGCAGTCTTTTCACCTCTCTGAGCTTCTAATTCCCCTCACTCCTTGTGTCCATCTTGTTTACTCTTCTCTCTCATTAGGTACAATGCCTAGCACTTGCTCTGAGAAGGGGGTGGGGCAGGAAGGAACTGTCTGTTCATTCAGGGTTTGTACAGTGCCTCGCACAGTGGGACCATGATCCATGACTATGATTCCTAGATGATACAGCAATGCCAAAAATAATAATGATTCATAATAATGGTGCCCTAATTTTGGCAGGAAGCTGTAGACACTATTGTACTACACATAAGAATGACAATGAAGAGAACAAGCCACATAGGAGGGTGGGGTCAGCCCATGAGGTAATCAAATGTGAAATCTTTATATGTGATTTACATTTGCACTATCTTTGTGTAATTATTATAAATGGTTACAATAAGTGCCAGCTGTGTCCCTCTCCTCATGTCCCCATCTAGCCAATATTGCCTTTTGGATTTCTTATGGATGTTGTGCAAGAGATGAGTCCTGGGCAGAAATTTGAAGGCACTGACCTTAAGGTTTACTTTTATGTTTCATGCACAAGGAGAGGCATTAAGGAAGGAGCAGAGATATTTGCATAAGTTGAAAATCAGGTGAATGTGGATGACCCCATAGGCACATTGGAAGAGACTGGGGCTTGTGATAAGCAATGAGAGAGGGGTAGAACTATGATGACCCTGGACAGTAAAGAAAAGAATCTTAAACTTGAAGCAGTGAAACAAGGAAAGCCAGCCAGGGCATTCAAAGAGAGAGAGAGAGAGAGAGAGAGAGAGAGAGATGTGGTTATAGTGACAGCCAAGGAAGTGGGTCTGGCCCACGGAAGCTCATCACCCAATAAACCATCTTGTTAGTCTTTAAAGTGCTACATAGTCCTGTATTTTGTTTCAGCAAGACTAGACTAGACTAGACTAAGCGGGCTACATTTCTATTACTAGCCAAGGAAGGTGACTGCAGCAGTTGTGTTCTGTATGTACCACTGGGGGAAGCGGATGTCTGTCTTACAGAGGCTGAAAAGCAAAGGTACATAACAACAAAGACGAGAGATATTAAAGGCCCAGACAAGAATTTTGGCTGCTGGCACCGCAAGTAGCGGACACATAAAACATGACACGGCAGGAGAAGCAGCAACATTTTGGACCCAGCCGCAGTGAGCAGAACTGAACATGCCCCGCAGCTGCCACCTCTCCGGCTCAGGCCGTGGGACATTCACAAGTGCAGCCTCCCGGGATCTAGTGGCACGGCAGGAATGGGGCAGCGGCCAGTTGCAACCCTGGAGCGAGGGCACCTTTGCCGGGGAGGGGTGGGTGGAAAGGGGGACGGAATGTGACCTGCTGTGCACGCTCCCTGGTGGTCCCCGCCCCCCCACGGAAACTCGAGGAAAGGGGCGTGGTCTGCAGGCAAGCGGGCGGAGCCGGGCCCAAGCACGCTGAGCTATAAATGGCTTAGAGCCCGGCCTGCAAGTTGGGGAAGTTTGCCGGCATGGGGGTCACGGTGGATGTGCAGCAGGTTTACAGATACCCCTTCGAGCAGGTGGTGGCCAGCTACCTCCGCAAGGTAACGGGGGCTCGAACTCCCAGCTCAGCGCTCCCCCCCCCTCCTTCGCTTCCCAAGCGGCTTAGCCTGAGCTCAGCCCGCGCTCTGGGCCGGTCCCCCCTCCCGCTGCTGCTGCCTCCATTTTGGGGCCAGGTGAGGGGAGCCAGCGAGGGCAGCTGCGGTCAGTGTCATTCGGGAGCCGCTGCGCGTTGGAAGCGGTTATTCATGCCCCGGGGAGCTGCCTCATTGCTGCGGCGCCCCCTGTTACGCAGAGCTGGGGTGTCTGTAAAGGATGCGGCCTGGGACCCCTCGTTCATCTGCGGGGCGTTCGTGTCGAGACCCCGGCCAGGCGCTCTTATGACTGGGGTGCGCGCGGAGTGTGTGTGTCTGTTTTTCTTCCTTAGTAGCTGCTGAATTTTCACTCTGAAGTGTCTCTGACTTTTTGCCGATTTGACAATGCCTCAGAATTTCCCAAGCTCCTTTCCAGCGCAAATCTTTCTGTTTGCTCTTCTACTCCTCTCGGAGGTGCCTACTGCAAATCCTGTCTCCGGCTTCAGTTAAAGTTCAGTCCACATGCAGGCTGGGAATGTCTCTGTTCCTTGAAAAAGTGAGTTTGCAATAAATGGTAGTCAGTGGTTACCAGGGCATGGATACGGGCCTCTTAAAACTTATATAACCAAACGAGCAGCCAGTGCTGCAAGGGTTTACCGTGTACCTTCCGGATCACAATAATAAACAAGCACGCAGGCTCTTGAATACCCTATCTTCCCTAACTGAGTAGTGTTAGAAGGCAATTAGCAGTGCAAGCTTCTTCCCTCTCCAGCTTTTAATATGAATCTTTTTTTTTAAAGGAACACTCACTGTCAATGTGCTTCACTTTAAAAAATGAAGAGTTTTTAAATTTTTGATGCTACTACCTCAGCTCTGGAGCTCCTCTATCAATTATTGTAGTTATATGGTCTTAAACATTTAAGAGACAGGAAGATATTATCTCCTGTGCTGCTATGTGAAAGATCCATCCTGTAGGTAGGAAATGCCTTGACTATATAGGGCAGAGATGAGGAACCTAAGGTGTGGGGGCCAGATGTGACCCCCCCCCCCCAGCTTGTCTGGATCTGGCCTCCCAGAGGCTTATGGCTTTACCCACACCCTCCCAAACCCAGCATCAGGGCATTTTAGCCCTGCTCCTTCAACCTACTTCCTGGGTAGATCCCTCACTCCCAGTCTGTTCCCCCACACACCTTTCTTGCCCAGACGCACATCTCCACTCTGCCTCTGCATTTTACCATCTTCCCAGATCTACCAACACACTCCAAACCCACACCCCAAGCCTGCTTCCATTCAGTCCCCTCCCACTCACTGAACCCCTCACTTTTGGCTACATCCCAGAACCTAGGGGGACCCACAAAATCTAGCTTGCCCCCCCCAGGCACTGGTGTTCAAGGGGAACATGAGGAGTGTCTTTCTGTTTCTCAGTCAGGGGCCACATCAGTGAGGGTGTGTGTGTGTGGGTTTTTTTCCCTCTTCTCACCTGTGTGCAGCCCCTGAATACTATGACTGAAAGATACCAGGAAAATCAATTTTGGTTGTCATTGCCATATACTAATAGATAAAAATATTCAGACAAAAGTGACTTGTAAACTGCCATTGGTCCTTCAACTATTTTCCATGCAGTGTCTTTGTTTGACTCAATGTTCTAGTGTTTTTTGTCCTATGCAGCCTTGTAAATGGAGGGAAGTGGAGACCAGAAGAAACTGTTAATTGTGAGAACTCCTGTAATCAGTAACGGTCTCGATATAATTGTTTCTCAGTTGGATGAAAGCATACTTTTATGCAGACCTTTACTATTGACTTGGCTGTCATTTTGGAGGCCGTACTCTCTCTACAACATTGCCTTACCTTTCACTTTCAGAAGTTGTTTTCTTGAAATCTTACCCACGCATCTAAGCTAATTGATTTTTCTAAGGTCATTCTGAATTCTAGATCTTCCCTGATACAAAGGAATGCTATATACCAGGGGTGTCCAAACTTTTTTCAAAGAGGGCCAGATTTGATGAAGTGAACATGCGTGAGGGCCGACCGTTTTGCCTGACATTCTTTGAACCATTAAAATTAAATGCAAATTAACTATTTTATGCAAAGTTTATTGCAAACAGCATACTTTTCATTTCGTCACATGGATGACAAATCTAAACAGGTGTTAAATCACTCTGCCTTTCATATCTGAAGGCCAGATGAAAAAAAAATCCAGGAAGCTGAAATATATGTCAGGAACATTTTAAAGTACATTACATATTATTGGTAATAAAGGTTGTCTGTCAACTTTTAAGTTCAAAAAATATGAACAGGAACATAACACCAAGTATACATGTTGTGTCCAAATATATTTATAACTGATTTAGACCAATTGACATTAACTGAGATTTTACAATGTATTCATCTCAATACATATGGATTAGTTGGGGGCTATAAAAGATAGATATTGCCAAATTACCTGTGGGGCCGTATTAAACCGGAACACGGGCCGCAATTGGCCCGCGGGCCGGACTTTGGACATGCCTGCTTTAAGGTATAGCAGGTTGGTCCCTGATAAGTAATCAAGTAGGCACATAAGGAAAAGCCTGGGGGGTGGGAAAAATCAAGTCACTTAACCCTCCTCCCCCACATTCAGGGGTATAACTAAGCCAACTTGTGAGACTTAAATCACACAGAAAAGGGGGAGAGTTCATGTAAACATCTGTAAACCCAGCTCCTACATTGACTTTATAACACAGGCTGCATCTCAATGGGTATCATGTTGCTCTGAGGCAGAATGAAGGCAGAGGAACTCTGAACACTTGATTCCATTGCAAGATTGGGCCCTTATATGGATATGCTCAGGGGACATGATTGAATTGTTTAGGCCTAGACTTTGGATTTTCTTAAGACCAAAGGTCAGTAGAAATGGTTCAGGAATAAATAATAGTGACATATTTCTTTTGAATATAGATATACTCCTAGAGAACCTGCAAATCTAGTGTTGCAGTTAGTCTTTTCCATCAGATGTGAACCTGATGGCATAATCATTTTGGAAAGAGAAAGCAAACACTAAATATTACTATGGGAAATAGACTTGTACAAGTGAAACTTTAACTGAAAGTGGAGCAGAAATAAAAGTAAATGTCTACTGCTGGCACTGGGCTTGACCACATTGCATCCTAGCAAATTTCTATTCTTTGCATTGCACTCCTATACACACAAACTTAGCCTGGTCCAGTATGGCCATAGGCCTATCTAACTTAGGGGTGGGTAGTAAATTTTGGTTGGGGAGGGGGGCATGCCAAGATTTTGGTAAGTCATAAAGGGCCACACTTTTCTATGGAGGGGTGCAGGGGCTGAGACAGAGTTTGGGTGCGGAAGGAAGCTTCAGGTAGGGGATTGAGAAGCAGGAGAGGGTATAGGATCTGAGGGAGTTCAGGTGAAGGAGGGGGTGGTGATCTGGTGCATGGTCAGGGATGGAGATGGGTGCCGGAGAGGATTCTCGCCTGTGGGGAGGGGTGTTGGAGGTGGTGCATGGTCTGGACATGAGGAGAATGGGAGGGGGGTGCTCTCTTGGGAGCAGGTTTGGCCAATGGGAGCAGTGGGGAAAGCCTCCAGACGGTGTGTCCCTGCTCTGCTGTCCCTCCCTCTTCTGCCCCAGCTGGGGGAGTGGCAGCACATGGAGCCACTTGTTCTGATGGCAAGGCTTGGGGCTTTCTTCCTCCCCTCCCTCCCAAGCAGGAAGCCAGCATTGGC